TCATACCAAATTATAATTCTTAAAATAAACTATTCTATTTATAAAATACCTTAAAGTTGAAGAGTAATAACACTCTTCCATAACTCTTATATCCGAATAGCACCATCATCTCAACGTTGTGATGTCATATTATTAGAATAATTTAATAAATTGAATTTATAATATTTTACTTGTCTATAAATCATTGTTATAATTACTAAATACACATTAAATTATAAGAAGATTTCTTAAGTCACTTTTTAGCTGACTAGTAATTTATTGAATACACATCACTAATCTTTAGTTATTTATCTTATCTCTCCTATCTGACTTAAAACACATGTTGAGCACATAAGAAAATATAATATATTTGAAATCCAAGTAAAACAGTAATAATATGAGATTGAAGATAAATAATATATTATCAGCAATACAAAATCGAAGATAAATTTATTAGCAATGTATTATCAGCAATACAATTTTAAAGACAGATTTATGAATTATAATAATTTTTTTATTTAATATAATATTCAATAGATTTTATTACAAATATATTCAGATAATTTAGTATTAAGATGATAGCTTTTATAGCACTTCTGGCTAAAGATGACACAGCAACTGTTACAACATGGTGACAAATAAAGCATCATCTAGTTGCAACTAATTGCAGCTTATAAAATTTTGGAGTTGCAACGTGTTGCAATAGGTGATAAATAAGTGTCACATACTTGCTGTGCCATCTCTACTCCTGGCAATCTTGCTTAAGCTACTATAATATTAATTCAAGCTTTGTATAACACTTATAGCAACAGTATTGAAGTGATTATACAAGAAACAAGAATACTTTGTCAAAGGAATATAGAGAGGAGTTTGCACTTAACTATCTACTCTACATAAAGTGCAAATTTTACTTCTTTAAATGATTAAAACTACGTGATGACTAATTAGATGTGAATTAAGAATTACTATCTAAAAAAACTTGTTTATATCTAATTTTAATAATTATAATACATGTTGCTTTTATACAAATTCAAATATAATTTATTGACTATATGAATTCATGTTCGCTATATTACTTAAATTCTATTGGTCCAATATTTGCTTATTCATTTGCTCATTTACTTATTTGTTTACTTGTTTGTTTATTTGCTTACTTATTTATTTGCTTGTCTTATGTGATTAAATTCTTCTAATAAGATATAAGATATTTATAATCCAATAATATTTAGTATAAATTATTCAGTATAATATTTGATCAAAGTTCATTATATAATAGGATCCTCACTGTTAAGATTTTGCTCTGTAAAATTAAAATATTCAAATATTTTTCTTTTAATTGATCACTAGATTTTTTTCAATTGTTCTTGAAGTTAAATATTTGTCTATTTTATATAATCAAAATATATCTCCATGATTTTTAAAATATTAATAAAGTTGTAAGATCAATATATATTTTGAAGTAACATTTATAATGCTAATTTTATTTTTAAATAATCATCTTGATTCAGAATGTTGTTTTCTAGATAACTTATAATTACTAGTGAGATTTAACAGTATTCTTCCAATTTTAAAATAAATTGAAAATATTATATATTTACTATTTTTTAACAATTCTTTATAAGTTTTTAACAATTCTTCTATTATTAATAATCATGATGATTGTTCTGCTAATTAATTATCTTTAAAAGTATTTTTATAATTTCAATTATATCTTTTTCTAAGAATGTTCAGATTTTATTCATTCTTATTGAATTTTCTTTATGTATTGGAATTTGTTAAACTAATTCAATTAAGCTTCCAAGTAATTGTTCTAGTATTTTATCAATATCTATTGTTGAGAGCAAATCTGGTGTTATTTCTTTTTCAAACTGAAGATATCAAAAAAGTCTATAATATTTATTGTTTCTGGTTAAGTTTCAATAATATTTGTTGAAAATTGGAATTTATTATTATTGTCATGATATAATATTTGACAAATAATCTTATTGAATAAGAAATATATTGATTATTATTGGACTATATTTATTAGTATTTCTATTGAATAGTTATTTTTAGATAGCTTTTATTTTATTGAACAATTATATATTAAATATTATTAGTTCTTAAAGTTTGTGTTAACACCAATAATGACAGCAATGACAGCAATGACAACAATGACATTAATACTTGTATTAATGATAATAATATTATTGATAAATCTATTATTTCTCCAAGTGATTATTTTTTATTTCTATTAATTCTAATAAAATTAATATTACTTGATTTTTGAATTTTTTAATTGATTTTGTTTAAATATGCTTTAAGTATAATATTACTAATAGTTTTGTTATCTATAATTATTGTAGTATCTCTATTTTCTATTTTTCCAGTACAATATAGTGTATCGATGGATATTTGTTTAATTTTGTTATTCTCATTTTCATTATTAATTAATAATTGCTCTAAAAATTATTTTGAAGAATTTTTAGTTTGTAATGCATATTCATCTTCTTGTTTAAAGGTTGTTCAGTATTTAAGAAAGCTTCTTATCGATTATTATTATTATTGTTTTGATTGTTATTATTGAACTATCAATTATTATTATCTCTATTTTGGTATTAATTATTATTATTATTATTGTAATTCTGATTATTTTGTTGATTATAATTATTATTTCTTTTGCTTTGACAATTAACAGCAATATGTCCAATTTTTTCACAATTATAACAAGCTGTTAATGAGTTATTATTATTATTATTATTATTATAGCCTCTTTTTTGATTATTTGAATAATTTCTGCTATTATTATTATCTCTGTTATTTGATCTGTTCTGAGTTTGATTTCAGTTATTCAATATTGACGAATTTCCTAGTTTCATTGTCAAGATTTCCAATTGTTGTAAGAATTGAGCTATATTGTTTTCAACTGGTGGTTAAGATATTGGAATATTTAACAGACTTGTGATATTTGATGTTGCAGTGATAGGATTTAGTTCTTCAATTTGCTAATAACTTGATTCATATAATTGAACAATATGAATAGTATCATCTAAGATAGTTGGTCTAGTCAGGCTAATGAAAAATTTAATTTTTGGTTTTAAATCTTCAATAAATATTATTATTTTGAGATATTCTGGATATCTATTATCAGAATTAATATGATGAAGTAATTCTCTAACAGCAGCTGAATATTATTTTATTGTTTCAGTTAATAACTACTTGCATTGATTTAATTGTTATTGCCATTTATAGATTTTATTAACAGTTTTGAATATTTATATTTATTTGAATTGATATATAAAGGAAATAACTTGATCAATATAATTATTGATTTTATTAAGTTAACCAATCAATAATAGTGATTCTTTTGTTAATTAATCATGTTTCAGTAAAATCTTTTAAATATGTGTCAATAATTTGTCTTTTCTAACATTGAATGTGTTATTAGCTTGACATGCGCTTTCAAAATCTTGTAACCATTCAATAAGTTCTTGGATATTTCTATAGAAATCAACAATTTTTGTGAAGGATGCTTTTTTTGCTGATGGAGCAGCATTGATTTGTGCTTGAATAGCATTTATCAGATTGGTTAATTCAGTCATCATTTAATTAAATTATGTGTCATTCATGATTAACTCAGGTTCTTCTTCACTATCTTCTTTTATTATTTGAATTACTTGATCTTCTGGATCTTTTTCAAAATTCTTTCAGAATTGATAAATATGAATCATCTTTAATTACAATTTGATTTTCTGAATTTTGTAATTCTGTTAATTGTTCTCAAAGTTTTTGTTGTCGATAATGCAATTTTTTTTATACAGTAAAATTTATAACTTCTTGTTGAAGATTGTATACAGTCAAATCCCTCTATAATCATCACCCTTGAAAAAACAAAATTTGGTGACTATAGAGGGAATGTGATTATAGAGTGATTTTTTTTATTATATTTATATATAAATGGGAAAGCAAAATAGGATGACTATAGAGAGATGTAACTATAAATGAATGTGACTATAGAGAGGTTTGACTGTACGTATATTTATATTTCTGTTTCACTTTGTTGAGAATATTTTCTTAATAGTCAGATAAGTTGTTTTACTGGTTCAGTAGTTGAATTTTTCATATAGATTTTACTAAAGATTTCTGCTAACTGATTTTTTATTTCCTTTAATTGTTTTTTACTGAGATTCACTTTTAATTCAATTTCTTCCCATAATTCTTGAAATACAATGTGATTTTTGGCCGGAATTATGCCTAACTCCTAACCTCGACTAACCATCTCTAATTCTAAGGCGTGACAAATAGGGTAAAAAAATATGAAAATAATGAGTCAAGGGGTGACAAATATTACTATGATCACGTGTCAGAGCTTTTTTGATGGTGACGCGACTGAAGGGTAGAAATACAAAAAAAATTTTTTCTTATTCGCAAATATTTTGATATGTCGTATATGTCGGAAGAAGAACGCTCAAAGCTAAAACACCCAAGTAAGTCTGTTACTTTACTTTCTATTTTTAACAGAATAATGAGAGAACAAACCTTTTGCTGTTTAGATTACTGGGACCGAGAGCCTGACACCTGGGGAAGCATAAAAGATTGGGACCTTTACTTGCTTAAGAAACTGGATTCGTCACAGGTTAATAAACGTCTTTCTCACTCAGCCTTGGGTGACGAGCTAAGATGCTTAAAGCAGATGTATGATGAAAACCATCCTATTTATAAGACAGCTTGTCATTGGCAGAACGAATTGAAGGGAGGTATAGTTTTTTTTTGACTTCACGAATTTTGTTGTGCCAGCGTACTTGATAGTTAATCTGGCAACCGAGTGTTGAGAAGGTTTTCCCGAGTGCAAATACCGACAGGTAGCACCGCGTGTGCGTGGCTATTGAAACGCGCGACGTACTCTATGCCTAAACCGGCAACCGAGTGTTGAGAAGGTTTTCCCGAGTGCAAAAACCGACGGCTATTACCGAGTGTAGAGGCATAGAAACGTTGTCGAGCGAGCATCGTGGCATTTTGTGAACTCCATCCAGTATCTCAAAAGTGTGTTGTTAGACTAACTTTTTATACATTTATATCCATACAGAAAAGTGATTGTAAAATTTGGAAGAAGAAGGAACAAATCTCATCGTTACTTTTGGAGGCTGATGTAGTCGAATTGGAATTGGAAATCGCCAAGGCGAGTGATTTATTCAAGTTTACCTCTTATACTTCTTAACAGCTCCTTATTTAGTCCTTGTTGAATTCGTTATTATAGAAAAGGGGAAGATATGATGTTCATCAAATAGCAAGACGAGGATATAAAGAATATTCAGACATAGAATTTGGTCCAGATCAGAGAGTGCAGAAGAAGATCAAAACAAATGAAATTAATGAGGAGGCGAAACCCGTTCCGAGTGATGTCTCACATGATTTGCAGTCTCAGGCTCAACAGCGAACTCCCGAACGTCAATTCAGTCCATCAACTACCAGTGAAACGGAAGCAGAATTAGCTTACAGTGATTCAAGCGACGAAAAAATCTCCCCAACTTCCCTTACAAACTTCTTCATGACTTCGCAACAGTCATTTACAGAGTCTGAAATAGATACAACCAAGACAATCGACTCGAGCATCTCTTATATTAATAAAGAACAAAAACCAAAGAACCCAGAAAATACATCAACCGTGACATTGCAGACGAAGTATTGAAAGCCTACCAAACGCGTGTTCTACCAGGAGATAGGTTGATGTACAATGGTGCTGATATACTGGATTTTGCCCGATCAACAATGAAGAAAAATGACTCCGCAAAAAGTCCCCTTTCCATTAATGTTGTCAATATTCACGACAACAACTGTGTTAAATTTTTATCTCCGAATTTCAAAAAATTTATCGCAGACCAAGTTCAAGATCACGAAATTGATACTGTCTATTTTGCTGATGGGCGATACATTGACAAATTCGTGATGGATTGTGATACAGAAGCATTACATTTCTTGGAAAAATTCAAGGAGATAGGAGATTTGGAATCTCTGGCGAAATGTTTGGATGAGAACCCAATCAAAAGGTCAGAGGCATCAAATGACCTTATCTACGTGAGGAACCTTTTTGACCATTTTCATTTATTATACAAAAATGACATATTACTTCAACCCATGTCCGAGCATGAGTTTAGTGCTTATGTTTGGACCCCATTGCTCAGAAATGCATTTCTCGGGAGGGAAGATTTAAAATTAAGCTGTGGTGAGTTGGCATCTAGATCGTACGAAAAGCTTAAGGAAGTGTTGAATATTGCCAACCGAAGTGCCCCTAAACTCGATGGAAAAGGATTCCTTAAATCCTTGGGCACTGAAATAATAGCTCAAGAAGACGGAGTCTTAAATACACATAACAAAAGAATGGGCGATCTACAAAAGTTGGAGTTTTGCTCTAAAGTAATTCTTACAGCTCTATTCTTTGCATTGCCATCCAACTCCAAGGCTAACATTACCGATATAGAGGCATATAGCCTCCAGTCAAATGGATTCCGAGTTAAGATCTCTGCGTCCAAGTATCTCTTCGAAGATACCATAATAACAATGGATCTCCAACACATAGAGGTCCCAAAGACCGTAGAAGGATTTTCAAAGTTGGTGGTGGGTGTAAAATCAATTCTGTCCTGGAAGGAGCGAACAAGAAAAAATACAGCATCATTTTACAGTGCCTTAAATAAAGGCCACCAACGTTTGATCAATGGTGTCAAGTTTTCACCAATTAAAATGTCCATATAAATTGTAGTTATATGATGTTTTCGCTGAGCTTGAAGCCAAATATTCTGCTGAAATAAAATCGCTCAAATCTTCTAGATAGAGGCGACTTTAGCCCAGAAAGCTTCATCATAAAAAGATATTAATATTCTCGCTCTTGAGGCTAAGATAGGTGAATTGGAAGGTAAGTTGGAGGACTTGAAACTGGATCAGGAGTTCCATGATTCGAATGTAGTAGGAGGGCTACTAGAGGAGCCGGCCCAAATAAACTCATCTGATCCCAAAGAGATCGATTCTCTCAGGCTTGAATTGGAACGGGCAAAGGAGGATTTAAATTCAAAAAAAAACATGAAATAGATAGAGTCGTCAAATAGCATATTCAAACGGGAAATAGATGTTTTGTCTTCGGCGCGATTAAATTTAATAGAGGAAAATTCTCGTCTCCGAGAGTTAGTGCCAAAGAAAGATGATGATATAGTATATCTCTCTAATCCCCCACCCCCACCTATGAATGATTCATCGCAACTTGGTCCTGAAAGGACCCTTTCCACTCTTAATCCTTCGCCCAAAATAATTTCTGTAGGTGGCGCAGAAGCGGTATCTTTACCAGCAACTGCTCTTATACTTGCGAGCTCCTTGATGTCACCGTTGATAACGTATTCTATACTTACCATACTTCTTATTGGATTGTAGTTGGGAAAAAAATATGGAATGCATGGAAAAAATCGGATCCCTTGCATTATTACAGCCAAACCAGATATCAGTAAGCATACATCCTTTATTTTTCCCGATTCTGGTATATGTGTAGTGTGAGACCTGAAATAAAGTTAGCCGGTATTATTGCACGAAAAAATATATGCGATCATAAATAATATTGCGCAAGTTCTCTTAGCGAGGTGTGGTAATTTTGGCTAAGGGTACTTAACAATATAATCTGATAATCTCGTTTATATCCGCTTCGAACGAATCATCAAAATACCTAGATAGTTTATTGTAAAGTTTTTATATATTTTTTAAACCATTTTTTTGCCCCGTTCTGGGAATATGCATCAACCCGCTTTTCCCTCTCCTCTGAATCTTTAATTTGCATCATATTATGTGATGGAGATGGTTGGTATCTTTCATTATTATTAATAAAGTGAGCACATAATTCCATAGTTTTTTCCAAATAGTGACTGATATCTATTTCTGTGTTGAGTTCTTTTACAATATCTGGAAACTTCATGTAGTCTGCAATTCTTCGTGATTGTTTTTTACCATTTTCATCATAAAGAGGATCACTCTTTACTATTATATAACTAAAACGCTTACCAAAGTCTGGGATATTCAAATTTTTTTCTTTCATTCGAGCTATAAAATGTTGAATGCATTAGTTTTTTACTTTTGATTTCCATATAGCTATTGCAATAAATTGACTAAACTCCCATTGCTTATGTTTTGCTTCTCTGAGAGTATCTTTAACAATTTGATAGATTGTGTATATATTATCGATATCCATCACCTCCCTCATAATTTTTTCTCCAACGAATCTGAAAAGCTTGCTTCCTTGCTTTACAGTATCAATATCTTTAGTGAACAGTTTTTTTGGCTTGAAATTTATTATTTCTTTTTACTGGTAAAACACACAGGGAACAATATTTTCTCATAAGTCATTTTTAAATAGGAGATATCATTTTTTATCTTAAGAAAGACATTAACTTTATTGCAAAAATTATCCATTACCTTTATAGTAATTTTAAACATTTCAGTTTAGTATGTTTTCTTAGAGAGTTCTTTCCTGGTGAAAGCTTTATTGCATTTTTTATAATACTTATCTGGATAAGTGAGATATAAAAAATCAGTATCATTATATTTTATCCTGAAATCTTTCTTAGTTATGTAATTTGTGACAAAATTAATATTATATTGTCCTGTTAAAGTGATTTCTCTAGCTAATTCATGAAGAAAGAATGGAAATTTACTATTTTTAGCCTCATCATAGAAAGTATTCATATATATTTTTAGAGTAAATTGCTTGAAATTTAAATAGTTATAATCAAAATATAGAGATGCATATTTTGATTTTAAAGTATTTGAAACTATTTTTCTTTTTCCTTTTATGGTATTTATAAGTTTTTTGAAATGCTCTTTTTCTTTATGCAATAAAGCAAACTTTGCTTTGAGCTCTATTCATTTGTTAAACAGATTTTTTAAAACTATTGAATATAATCCTTTTTCTAATTATTATGCCAAACAAATTAGACATGAAAAGTGTAATCATTAAATGAGAACTCAATTTTGTATAATCTTTTTTCATTTTCTTATACATTATCAATTTTTTCTTTGTTTAGTATAATTTTTTCTGGAGAGAGATGTAGGTTATAATAAGACTTGAATATAATAATACAAAATTGAGTCCTGTTACAGATTGCTTATTTTCAATACTCTTTTTCAGAGAAAAATATATGTTCCAGTATATTTTTCATTTTCTTTATCTTTATTTAAAATTGTACTAAATAATATATTGTGTTTAATAATATAAGCATTCAAAAGATTTTATACTTTTATTTTATTAACCTAATAATGTATGTCAAATAAAGAAACATATATTATAGAAGTGATTTTTCTATAATACATTTATAATACAATAATTTACTACTTCATGAATATTCCTAGTAGTTTTATTATAAGATCTAGTTTTTGATTTTTGCTCTAAGTAAAACTTGAATGAGCTTTCTTTTTCACTTTTGAGCAAAAGTAAAGTCTTTTAAAACATGTACAAATATTAATTAATACATATCTAGGTAATTTAAGAAAGAAGAATTTAAATATATTTTCTAAACTAATTTTGATAAAAATAGAATTATGCTTAAATTTTTCTTCTGTATCTTTTTTTTGTATTAATTGGTATGAATTTATTAGATTTTTCTAATTTTTTATAATAATTTCATTATAAAATATATTCAGAAGTCTCTCTTTAATCTTGATATTATTACGATCTGAATTATACAGAAATTTAGTTTATGAATATTATTCAAGAATTATATTATAAATTTTAATTTAATATAGTATTATTAATTAGTCTAGATTTTATAATATACAGATAAATAATACTTCTTTTATAATATCTAGATCTTTTATTATCAAATAATTTAATTAGTAATTAAAGAAAAGAAGATCTAGATGCTTATTAATTTAAATTTTTGTATCATTTATATTAATAATTAATATTAATAATTAATATTAATAATAATTATTATTATAGTGTTATATTTATTTTCAAAAATTTCTTAATTAATGAATCTTTCAAAAATGGTAGAAAATACAAAAATCTCTAAAAATAATAACAAATTAACAAATTAATAAAAATAATTTACATATATTAATTATTTAATAATTATATAATTATTATTATTTATCATTTTTAATTTAGTAATTTACCTTTATTTTCTATTTTTTTTTACTCTTTTTACCTTTACTTTTTATCTTTTTTATCTTTTCTATTTATCTTTTTTACTCTTTTATATATTTCTTTTGTAATTTTTGTAATATAGATAATATTAAAATATAAATATATTGAGAAATTTTGTATAAATAGAAATATTATTTTAATATACTCTTTCTCATGCTTCAAACAAATTAATAAATTTTAATCTTTAATATAATAAGTTAATAATTGTCTTATTATTATAAAATTAATATTTATTTTTGTATCTTTTTCGACTGAATCAAGTTACCTGGCAAAAATAGTTTGTTAATTGAACTTCAAATTTTGTAATTCAAATCACTTTTTATCAATCTTGAGTGAGATCAAGAAATTGAATATTGAATTGAATTTTTGATTATTATATTTTTGTCTTTAAATTTGGAAAAAACAGTTAAAGTATTTTGAATAAACATATTTATTTACTATAGCATTATTTTTTGTATAGTTGTGCATTGCAACTTTAAATAAGTAATATTGAATTATATATTTGTATATTATAACTAAGATTGCTTGCTGAAATCCCTTAGTAATCGTTAAAATTCTGTCAAAATTATAATAAATTATTAATAAATAGCCTGTTGAAATTCTGGCAAATTTTGAAACCTGTCATAACTGAAATTATATCAAAATTCTAATTAACAATTAGTATATAACCTGTTAAAATTATGATAATATTTTTCTGAAAGAATTTAGACAAGCATTCTTAATTATAACTATAAATAAGTAATATTAAATTGTATAATTATGCATTATAACTCTAAATAAGTAATATTTCTTTTAATAATTTATTTTCTTCAATATTAAAAATACTAGAACATATAATTACAAGTATAAAAATATTAATATCTTTATATTTAGTTAATAATTTCTATTAGTTAATTATCTCTTTGAACATACTCTTTTAATTTTTTTTATCTTTTAATAGAATTGTTTAACAATTTATATCAAGATTGATATAAGTTTAGATATTTATTTTTGTATTGATCAATTTTATTAGTCTATTTCTTTCTTTCAACTTATATAACTTTCTTATCAAAAATAAAGAAACTTTTTATTTAAAATAATTATAATAATAGTATAGATTAATTAATAATACAATCAAATCTTTCTATAGTCATCATTTTTGAAAAAGCAAACTTTAATAACTATAGAGAAGATATGACTATAAAGAAGTTTTTTTACTATATTTATATGTAAATAAAAAAGCAAATAGAGTAATTATAGAGGAATATAGTTATAAATAGATATGACTATAAAGATATTTGACTGTAATTGCTAAAATATTCTATTAATAATATAATTTCTTATATATACAAGTTGTTTTACTCTTTAAATAATATGTTTAATTATAATAAAGAAATATTTTAATAATAATTATATATTGTTCTTTTACCTATTATGTAGAAAACTCTTATATAATATTTGGTGCTCACTTTTAGAAATCAATCATATACTGTGACTAAAAAAGAATTTTGATTTTTTTTACTTTGTAATTAATTATTTACTTATTTATACTGATCAAGATTAACTTTTATCAGCTCAAATTTACAAGAATTTTACATCAGAAATAATAAATTCTAAAGTAATAATTAATCAATAAGAAACTTTGCACATTTTCTTATGAGATTTACTTGATTTTAAAAGAGAGGAAGAGAATAATATCATCATAATCAAAACTTACTAATATTATATTAATATTATTACTTTCATCTTCTTCATTAACAACTATTACTATTATTACTAATATTATTATACTCTCTCAAAAAAACTCACGCTAAGTTAAAATATTTATATTATATATATTCATTAAAAAACAAAAGTGACAATAATAATATTACTGTCACAGTAATAATAATAATAATAATAATAATAGCAACAACAATAAATAAATATATTTTGAATTGATAATATTGTCACCGATTCAATGTCGACTATAATTTAATATAAAGAATATGTTGTCACGAGTTCCAGGTTCAGGTAGGTATTCTCGTAACGTGTGTGTTCAACCAACGTCTATTTCGATAATTCAGTAATTCAATCCAGTTGCTTTAGGATCGTGGCACAATGTGGCTTCTTCTATTCTATTAATCTAGAATAGGAAACACTACTACTAATAAATATCTCCTTTGTATTTACTTAGTATGGTGACGGTTCTATAGCAATATAGTACTGATATTCTATAGCAATCTGGTTGAGTGTCCAGTAGTG